AATCATCTCAATAATGAGTCCATCCTTTCCATCTTTGGTAGCACAACATCTTTCATTGAAGAAGGTTCGACAAGTCTTATGTTAAACTTACTGACAAAGTTTGTTATACTATAATGCTTCGGCGGCGAATACATGTAGTTTGAAAGACATAATATAGATTCTTCAGCAAATTCACTTATACTGGATTTTATAACAATGTTCTCACGAGACCAAATACCACCAATTGACAATCTTGTAAGCAATCCTGCTGAACCTTCTACTGTAAACGTCGATGGTAACATTCCACGAAGGTCATCTATTGACATCGTTGAGTCACTGTATTTAAATATTTTCTTAAAGCAATCGTCATTATCTAACCATGCAATAGCTTTGAAGTTTTCATTCGAATATACATCTGCTTCATTAAATGTAAAACCTGACTTCTTTGCAGAGATGACTTTAAAATCTATTGAGTTTGTTTCAAAATTATATGCTATGGTAACTTCTGAAGGTAATGGATGTCCTTCCGCAGTCAGTTGTTCTCTCACTACCGTTTGAAGCTTTGTGTTAAAAACTTTCATGTCATCTCCTGTATCTAAGTTCACATACACAGCAACAGGGAAACTATCTTGCTTCTTTGTTTCATCATTATATCTCAAAACATTAAAGTTCTTCAATAATATTGTTCTTCCTGCTGGAATACTTCGAACCTGTCTGATTTCAATAGCTTTCTCACCTCCTACATACTCTACCCAGTGTCTTGGATATTCATAAGTATACTGACTTTCTTGAATTTTGGTTGGTTTCATCATAACGTGTTCATAGTATATCTTTATACTCTTGTCAGTTAGACTCGGTGCTATGTTCTGAATATTTCTGACTTGCATTTTTAATGGAGATAAAATGAAGCATTTAATACATGACGTAGATGAAGACATGAATGAAACTACAGACAAACTTAACTCTTCTCTCATTCTTCCTTTCAGTAAGGACTATGAGTTCTGTTCAAATGGTGTTTATTTCTATTGTGGAAAGATGGGTTCAGGTAAGACATTTAACCTCATTCGTCATATACTCATAACAGAACGTTTAGGAAATGACTCATATTATGACCAAATCATTATATCAGCAACTTCAGACTCTATGGACTCAACAGCGAAAACATTTATGTCAAAAGTTCAAGCCTCTGTCGTTAAAGTTCCAGACAGTGAACTCATTGAATTTCTTCAACGTTACATTCGACGTAAGAGGAAATATTATGCCATCGTTGAATTTATACAGTCAGGAATGCAAAAGACTTCTGAGGAGATGGAAAGAATTATTGACAAACACCACTTACGTCAGTACTCAGGAGTTTACGATATGAAACGACTTACAAACTACATTCTGTCAAAACTTTCAAAATACCCCTTCAAAAAGTATCCTTCAAACACTCTGCTCGTTTGCGACGACTTCGCCGGAAAAGGTTTAGTGTCAAAACCAGACTCACCATTAGCTAACATCATAACTAAAGTCAGACATTACCACTTAACTGTAGCAATACTTATGCAAACATGGAGGTTTTTAGCTTTAAACATAAAACGTCTCATAACTGACTTCGTTATCTTTCAAGGTTTCTCACGCTATGATATTGAACTCATTTGGAAACAGTCAGGTATAACATTACCTTTTGAAGAAATTTGGGAAGCATATAAGTCTCTCATCTCTCCTCGTTCATACCTTGAGATTCATATCATGACTAATACCATTAAAGTCAAAAATATTCCATGGGAACGACCAACATTGTTTTAAAGTTTAACCTTCAATTGACTGATGGTAAACAAATTCCATGCATCTCTGTCGCCATTTCTGTTAATATTTTTGCTGTCATTCATATCATCCACTTCCCCATCCGTTAGCTTTTGAGGATATGCGTTAGAATAGCTGTTCTTAAATGAAGGCTTTTCACCTTTGAGAGCATAAACTCTATAACTTTCTGCATACTTTATGTTTGAACCTCCTGAGCCATCATTGACATAAATTTTTATAGGCTTCCACCCTTTGTTCATGTTCCTGCTTCTTCCCTTAGCTCTTTTGTTCAGTAGTTCTACATCTTTATACACAGCACCTGTCTCAGTGAATTCAACAATATTTTCATTCGTTAGCTTTACATTCAAACCCTTGTCGAGTATATTGTTCATTTCATACATATAAAAGGTTTTTATTCTATATGAAATGAGAAGCAAATCCATCTTAGCTGGTGCCGTTAATGTTCCAATTGAACCAACATCAAATGTTGACTCACGAACGACAAACAATATTGTCATAAAGAACTATAGTTCAGAGTGTTTGAAAGAAAAAGAACCAGAACTGAAATCCGTGAATTTAAACTCAGCTTCAAACGCTAACGCTACATCAGATGTTAAGTTAGAGTATCCACCACTGGACCAAATTCTTTCAAGAGAAGCCAACGACAACCCTTACACAAATGTTCAAACAAATCCTTCAGATAACGTAGACCATTACCTTCTTCAGTTATACCAAACAATTTTACTCAAAGACGATAAGAAGCTTTTGACAAATCTTATAAGCAAGAACCAAATAATTCTAACAAAGGAGGACCTTGAAAATGTTATATCACGAATAACAGGGAAACAATGTGTCATTGACTATCTCGACCCTGAAATCGAATGCTGTGGTCAAACTCCACTATTCATGAAAATAGGTAACATCCGCATCATTGAAACACCAGGAACTACAGGAGTTGAGTTTAAGTATAAATATTCGAACGAGTATACAAAACTTTCAACAGAATATAAACTTTGCTTGAAATATGTTTTAGTAAATTAAAGCAATTTGTAATATCTGTCCAAAACTTCTTCAACAGTATCGAACTCATCTTCATAATGCAAACCTAATCTTATTGACTTGGTGCAGTTTTCACTAACACAATATTTTTCTGTTCTCTTGACTGACATAACTAACTCATTTGTTTCATCAAACAGCAACAACCAAAGTTCATGACCTAATACATAACATTCATACTTTATATTTTTAGCTCTGAGTTCTCTTGTAAGCTGTTGCATTTAATATTTTCTAAAAAGTCAACTTCAACAGTCATTCGCACTGGTGCCTTCAGTTCTACAGGCTCTCCTTGAAAGTCAACAAGTCTGAATTGCATGTCTTTCAAATTATGAGGACTAATGCGAACCCATTTACCTAAATGAGTTGCTATGACAGGAACGTTTGGAATGAACATTGAATTGACTGCATAACAGAAGGATTTATATTCTACTGAACCTTTACTATTAACTCCTGAAATACCTGTGACATTAGCTATTTTAGACTCAATGTATAAACAATTGCCATAACATACGTATGGAACAGATTTCATCTCAATCGTTTTGTCAACACTTTTCAAAGGAAATGTCATATGGTATGCTCCTAAAAGAAGTTGAACTCTATGACTCATTCGTGTTATCTTGAACTCTTTCTTGCTACTGAACTTCAATGTTCCCTCAGAAGAGAGTTCGACATCTATGTTGTCAATAGTTTCTTTCATTTATGAGAGTATCTATGACTCCAGCAATTTTATCTATTCTATACTCTGCTCTGTTAGGAAATGTTATAAAACTTCTTTTGTCATCTATTTCAATCTCTATGAAATCTGTTTCGTCAGTTATAACGAATGAAGCAATAGTATTAAGTCAACAACTCTGAAAGCAAGCGCTTCATTCTGAAGACCTAAGTTTGTTTGTAGCTTTACTGTCCCGTATTCGTTTGGGTCTGTACTTTGCAAATAGAACAACATTTTATTCTCATTAAAATATGACTATTGCTGCATATGCGTATGAAACAAATGAAGCAAGAAGAGCACATGAACTAGTAAACGAAAACTCAACTTTAACCATTGAAGGCAATGATTTAGTCATTGACGATGGAAAAACTAAAAAAGTCATTGATTTCGATACTTTTAACACTTATGACCCATTCATTACAACAAGCAAGGTTCCCATCATAAATGATGGAACGGTGCAATATATAAATTCTACAGTAGATGCCTCAATAGTGAAAGTATTAAATGTTCTCATTGAATTGTTAAAAAGCTTTCGATTTGACGACAACATTAAATGCCTAAAGAATTTAGTCATGAATGAGAAACAAATTCTCGGCGTTGCTGGTAGCAGTAATGATGTACACCTTATGACATTAGAATATTATAACGAACATAAAGATGAACTGAAAGGAGAGAAGGGTGACACCGGACCACAAGGAATACAAGGACCACAAGGAATACAAGGAATACAAGGAATACAAGGAATACAAGGAATACAAGGACCTCAAGGCGAAAACGGTTTGGATGGAAAGGATGGAAAGGATGGAAAAACTGCTAAATCATGGATATGGGACCTTATAAATACTGGTTTAACAGCTGCTTCATATGGAGTTCTTCAATACCAAATCGGAAAGATATGGGCAGTACTTGGTGAAGAAGCTTTAGATGACGTTAAAAATGCTTTGAACTTCATTTCAAATGGTTCGGATACTATTAAAACTTTATCTGGTTGGATGCAAGAAACAAGGAGTCAAATAGATACTGTAAGACGTATAGCAAACAATGCACGTACGGGATTGGATACTTTACGAGAAGCACAAAATACACTAAAGGAAGCAAATGATATTCTTGGCTCAGTATCAGACATGCATGAAGATTGGCTTAAAGGTATTGACAAATCTTTAAAAAATCACAGTCAGTCTATTGCTGACTACAAGAAAAGTATAGATTTTTTACATAGTGCTATGGACGTACATGATGGAAGCATAAGGAACTTACTTAATGCTAACAATAACTTACCAGGAACTATTAAAGCATTTATAAAGTCCTTTGTAAAACCCGGTGCTCTAACATTTAGGTCTTTGAGAGCAAGAGCATTGAAGTCAAGAGATGCAGAAACTCCAGAAGAACCACCAAAACCAACAGCTAATGAAATATTGTTCGAATATTTTCCAAGGTACTCTGTTCTCATTGCATACATTCAAGAAATACTTAAGAAAGCAGACTTGACTTTAGGAGATGATGAAAGTTCTGTATATCTTTCGTTCCAGTTTCAAATAGCAGAACTTTTGAGACAGATATGCTTAATGTATGACAACATCTCTGATTTCACAAGATATGATGACGACCATGACCCCGAACACGGTGAAGAAGAAGTTTTACAAACATCCATTAAGACAGGAAAGGTTTTAACTCAAAGTCTCATTATTGACACCAAAGATGGCGAAGTGGACGTTCTTCAAGAGCTGAAGAAAAATACTTCTTCGGGAGGTGGTGGTAGGCATGAACTTGAAATAAATGAGATAGAAGAGAAATTAGCCGAAAAAGCAGATAAAGAACATAAACACAATATCTCCGATATAAATGAACTTCAAGCTACATTAAATAGTAAAGCAGATAAAAATGAACTTGACGCAATGAACAAAGTTTTGAAATCTCATAAACACAATATCTCCGATATAAATGAACTTCAAGCTACATTAAATAGTAAAGCAGATAAAAACCATGTTCATTATATAACTTCAGACGAACAGATTATAACGGACTACCATGGATATTTAACACGAAGTGATGAAGCGAAGACAAAAATGTTAATGAAAGAAGATATAAATACATTCGTGCTAAAGGTTATGACATAAGCTGTACTGTACAGTATGATGTAGCTAAAGCACCAGAAGCATTTGGTTATACCGGTGAAATTTATGCCTCTACTTTCAATGTTAACGGTGTATTAGTTGAACCAAGATTTACTTTGAGAGTTAAGTCAAAAATAACGTTTGAAGATGCTATTAAAAGTAAAGCTGACAAAGTTGAACTCGAAGCAATGAACAAAGTTTTGAAATCTCATAAACACAACATCTCCGATATAAATGAACTTCAAGCTACATTAAATAGTAAAGCTGACAAAAATCATACACATAACTCCTTCTCAACTGTTAGAGCAGACGACATAATATTGAACTATACCCTTGGTTCAAGTGCACCTTTAGAGAATCCAAGTACAAGCGTAAAAGATACACTAAACTCCTTAAATAACAAATGTATAAATATCAAAGGTCATGTCAGAAACTTTGAAACATATGAACTACCAGCAATGTTAGATAAAAAGCAGACAAGAACCATACACATGATTTCTTCACAACTGTTGCTATAGAAAGTATTGAAGGAACGGTTGAAGGAACTGGTGGGGATGCATTATATTGTAAACCTCCTAACTTTCCACAAGGTTTAACATCGGATGACGACATAACGACGATGAGAAACATTAGATGTAAAGATGTTTATGTCATGAAGGATGAACATAATATTAAATTCACTGCTCAAGATTTATATGACAAGAAAGCAGACAAAACAGAGCTTCAAACATTAAAGACTCAGATTCTTCAAACATTATATCCTATAGGCTCTATTTATACTTCAATGAACTCAACAAATCCAGCAACAGTTTTAGGTTTTGGTACATGGCAGCAGATTGTAGACAAATTCTTATACTGTGCTAACTCTTCAAAGCAAACAGGAGGTTCGAAGAAAATTAAAGAAGCAAACCTTCCATCACACACTCACACAGGAACTACAAACACAACAGGTAGTCATTCACATTCAATAACAAAAAGAGGTTATACAAATCTTGCAGCAGGTTCGGATAGACAGGGAATGAATAGATATGATATTTCAAGTGACCCAGTAGATTCAAGCGCAGGTATTTTCTGTGGAACCACAGGAAATCATTCCACACACTTTCACAACAAATCCAACAGGCTTGGGTGCAGATTACATGCCACCATTTGTGACTGTATTTGCATGGTACCGCGTTCAATGAACGCGCTTGAGCCTAGAATAAAATCTTTAACTTTACATAAATGAGCTTGAAAGAAGTATTCGAACAACATCCATGGAGGTCATTTAAGAAGTTCAATGAAGCTGCAAAGAGTTGGGGATTTACTAACAGAGCTGAAGTGAAAAGGTTCTTTGACAAAAATGTTGTACATCAAACAAAAATAAACCCTTACGACTACTTTTTACCAATTTACTCCAACACTCCTGACGCATACCAATTTGACACTCTCATTCAAAGCAGAAAAGGAGGACATAAACCATTCCTCATCTTCATTAATGTTAACACTCGCAAAGCTTTTGCGTATATAATGAAAAATAAAGGAACTCGTGAAGTTTTAAGAGTTTTGCAGACGTTCGTGGCAGAACATAACCCAAGTACTTTAACATCAGACCAAGACAGTGCATACCTCAGCAATGAAATCACAGAATTTCTCATTAAGCATAACATAACTCACTACACTACTGAAGACCATAACCATAACATACTCGGCATCATAAACCGCTTCATAAGACGCTCAGAGATTTAAACAAGAGCGAGACTTTACCGAAGAAACAATGAAACATTTTCTCGAAGTATATAATTCCTCAACAATTCTACAACAGGACATACACCAAATTCAATGACACAACAACAAGAAGAAAAGTATATACAAAAGAAACGAAGCCAAACACAAAATATCAGAAATTCAACACAATTTACCCTCATTCCTGGTACAAAAGTTCGTGTAGTTCTTGACGACAAACCGTTGACAAAGAAACGTTTAAGGTTAAGTCGAAATTATTATATCGTAGACTCTACGCAAGGTAATGGATATCTTATAAAAGCTGCTGACGACTCTATTGCGTTTTATCCTCGCATAAATTAGTCGAAAGTAGTAATGGCAAACTTGCTGAAACCATTGACGAAGCAAAGCGAGGAGTGGTTATTGAAATACTTGACTACAACATAAACGATGACACTTATAAAGTAAGATATGAAGGAGGTGTTGAAGATGTTATACCATCTAAGAACTTGAGAGAGTCAAAGCCAACACATCTGGGACCATTAGAGCGGGAGTACTGGAAAGACAAAAATATGCCAGAAAGAATAAGAAAATTCTTCTAAACTTTTTCATTAGATGTAAATCAGACAAAAATATTTTTAGGTGAAGAGGTGAGATCTCACCTGTTTTCTAACATGGTCTAAAACACACAAAACTCATGAATTTTGTGTGTTTTCAGCATTATTTTTTTGCATTATGACACGAAGTGAACTTTTGCACTTCGTCAAAAACTCATGAATTTTGTGTGTTTTCAGCATTATTTTTTTGCATTATGACACGAAGTGAACTTTTGCACTTCGTCAAAAACTCATGAATTTTGTGTGTTTTCAGCATTATTTTTTTGCATTATGACACGAAGTGAACTTTTGCACTTCGTCAAAAACTCATGAATTCTCATGAATTTCCTTAAGATAGAAAAAATAAAAAATAATTTTATGTAGAATGTTAGATCTAACACGTTTCTAACCTCATTTCTAACATGGTCTAAAACTCTCGAAAATCATGAATTTTGACATTTCCTTATGAAAGAAAAATAACGCTAATTTTTTCTAAGAAAAATTTTTATTTTGTATGTAAAGACAGTATATGTCAAACATTGAGTTTGAAACAGTTAGAAAGATAGACAATGACACCAAAGTGGTTAGAATAGGTGATTTAAACGTAAGATACTCAAAGAAATACAACAAATATTCTTTGTCAGACATTATAACACCATCTGGAAAGAAAACAAACGACTGGGTTAGAAATGCTTCAACTCAGAAAATTTTGACAAGAAATCCTGAGCTTATGATATCAGTAGCATTTCATGGAACAAGAGCATATCTCATTGACAAAAGTCTTATACCAATAGTTTTGTTATGGATTGACCCAGTTGTTGGATATAACTTCATAACTTATGGTTCATTCGACTCAGAACGTTGCAGTGAAGGCTTACTTTACATCGTTCAGAAACCGAAGGACTTCAATACAAAGAGATATAAGATAGGAAGAACATATAATATAACTCAAAGATATGACTCTACAGTCAATAGAGTCAAGGTTGTGTTCGTTAATGATATGAGAGCTGCAGAAACAGAACTACTTGAAAAGTTTGAGAAAAGGTATGGTGCTCCCATGAAAGGTAAAGAAACGTTTGAAGTAGATGAGATAGATAAAGCTATAAAATTATTTGACGAAGTTGCTGAAAAATACATGTAAAGCGTTTATTTTTGGTCTTTTGTGAAAATTCATGAAATTTGGTCATTTTTCACCAAAAATAATGTTTAGGTGAAGAGGTGAGATCTCACCTGTTTTTTCACCTGTTTTTTCACCCCCGTGAATTTTCATGAATTTCCTTAAGACAGAAAAAATAAAGTTAGTTTTATTTTTATTTATTTTTTTATTTTGTATAAAAGATATGATTTCAACAATCGGCACAACAACAATTCAAACAACAGCACCAAACTCGTTAGTCATGAATCCAACATCTATGTTAGTAGAGATGAAAAACTTCATTCCTTCTTCATTTACTTTCGAAACAGAAATACAAAGAATAAAGCAAGAACTTTTAACAAGTAATTTAGACTGTACCGCACAGGATGAAGAAAATGAAGAATATCTTTATGAAATGCAGGACATTATTGACCATTTACCCAAATTGCCTGAAATCCAACAGCAAAAACTAACTATTCCTGAATTCGACGAAATTGAAGTTAAAGTTACTGATTCAGTAGAAATAAAGAAGTTCATACGTAAAGTAAATTATGAATTCCTTGGTTTTCATTGCAACCATAAAGTTATGGACAAAGATTGCGACATGGTTTATAAAAACATTTCTGACATATATAAATCTGAGGAGTTTAAGACTTACGATAACTTTGTTTCATTAGTTGCAAAATGTGTTTGGGAAATAAGAGATAAAGATAGAAGAGGCAAAGTATGGAACGAACAAATAAGACCCGCTATGTTTGAGATGAAGAGAGCAATTGACGCTTTAGTTGTTTTAGCTGGTTTTATTTCAATGTATAACGCAAAAATGAACCGCAATGTTCAAAATGTAAAGCAGGAATAAGAAAATATAACTACTCAGTCAAAGAGATAGAACGTATGCGAAACGACTATGCAGACTTAAAGAAAGAAGCAGAAAAGCCAGCAGAAGATAAAATGGACATGTTAGCATTTCTGAACAAAAACTATCCAACAGCAGAAGATTTCCTTCTGTCTGACGTCAAGAAGAAGTATAAAGAAACCTTCGGTATTGTTAAAACTTTTGACATACTGACAGAAGAAATAGAAGCTACGAAATTGTTTAGGATTTCAAATATACATCGTACAATTCATGTAAAACGCTTGTGAAAAAAGAGGTGAAAAAAGAGGTGAAAAAACAGGTGAGATCTCACCTCTTCACCTCAATTATATTTTTGGTCAAAGCTTCCACGAGAGAAAAGATTCCTCATTCGCTAAGGATTCCAAAAATGAAAAAATCATTGATTTCGGCTGAGAAAAACAGCAAAACCCTTCTTCCACGGGAACAAAGAAATAAAGAAGAAATAAAGTAAATTTTTTATTTATTCCCGTGGAAGATAGAGCACTTTTATGACACTTTTTATTCACGACAAACAAGACAAACAAAGAAAATAAGAAAATACGGCGCTGTCGCGGTTCGAACCACAGACCCTAACCCCCATAACACCACCTTAGACCACTGTGCTACGTAGCCTGTCGACATAAGATTTTATAAATTGCATATTTGACGTAAATTTATTTCCATCTGGCTTCCCACCGCATAAGATATTCATACGTGTTTGTAAGACATTCATTAAACTTCTTTTCTATTGCATCTAATCTTGCGTTATTTTTTTCAATAACTTGTCTGTATTCTTCATCATCTCCAGCAGTGTTTGGGTCTTCACGTTTAAAATATTCATTGTTAACCAATTTTTTATCTACAAATTTTATTAGTGTTTGATTCACTTCGTTATGATAACGGTCATATTCTTTCAATACGTAAGTGAAGACAAAATGCGTCGTACCTTCAATCTTAAAGCTTAAAGAACTTTCAACACAGTTTTGAGGGTCTGTCAGTGCGTCAATGAGATAGTATTCGAAGTCAGTCAATAATCTTTTTAAAGTCATTTCATACAGGATAAAATTTAATGTTGTGAAGAAATAGTGTTTATCTCAGAAAAAATAACGCTAATTTTATTTTTATTTATTTTTTTATTTTGTATGTAAAGACAGTAATGTCAACATCAGAGAACACAACAACTGCTATCGTTCATGAAGTCATAAATGAAGAATACGAGTACATACAGTATAACAAACAGTTACGCCTCATTCGTTCAGTCAAAGATGACATGTACCAAATGCAAAGTATAATGAATGCTCTTCGTTCTACAAAGCAAGCATATCATTGGTTTGAAAACCAACAGACAAAAGAACTTTTAGAAGAATTTCCTCATATGATTGCTTCCCTCGGAAAACCGAGAGAAGAGATTCCGTACGAAAATCGCAAGAATTTGGCTCCTGGTTTGAAAGGTTATTATGTTCATAGACTTCTCGTAAATGCTGTAGCAATGTGGGCTTCACCTCGTTATGCTTGTTATATTTTCATGATGTTAGATGAACTATATAAAGCAGAACGTGAGAGATGGAAAAGAAACTTCAAGCAAAAGATGAAGTCATTGAATCCAAAGACAAAAGCATACAGAAAAGAATACCGCGTTCAGTACCAAAAGGAAAGGAAAAGAGTTATAAGTATATGATATATACTGAAGAGATGGAAAATGAAGAAGATAAAGATATGGTTATGTTGCATTTAGTGAGAAGAAACAACAAGAGCTTTTATGACTTAGCTAAGATATATAAATCTGATAGAAACTGGTTCTATCGTGAAAACTTACCGATTTCAATGACACCGAATGAGCAAATAAAGGAAATTGTCAAAAGTACTCTTCCTCAAACACACTATGACATCAAAGGTTGCACAATACTTACATTCAAAGAAGACTTACCATTACTGAAGGAAAAAATAACAGAATATTTCGATAACTTCAAAGAGGAAGAATGAAAATCTAAGCTAATTTTATTTTTTTATAAAATTTTATCTCATATGAAAGAACATGAATTTAGAATATTCGGAACTCATGACAGAAGAAGAGAACGAACAACATGTAAAAGATTATGCAAAATTTCTGAAGACATACAAAGCTTATGAAAAAGCGTATGAAAAGTTTATACATTGGGGAATTGTTGTAAAATATCGATATGAAGACTAACCAAAAATATTTTTTTGCTTAAATAGCTTCAGGGTCTATTTCTTCAACCATTTCACTTCCTTCGTCAATGTCAATAGAAGCTTCTTCAACCTTTGGTAAGAATTTCTGTATAACATTTTGTTCGTTATTGTCTTCAGAGATGAAGGATAATATTTCACATTTGTTTCACCCTTCTTATATTCTTTCTGTTCGGAAAGATTCATAGCAATACTGAGAAGTCAATGTTAGAGTTCTTTATGACAGTATAATGAGTATCTTTGACATTCACGAAGAAACTCTTTTGTTTCAAAACTACTGCTAACTCTTGTGAAGTATAACGTTTGCGGTCAATGACGATAGCTAATGGTCTGACATACTGACCGAACTTAGATTCTTTCACAAACTTCTTGTTAAAGATAACATTAACATTTGAAGCATTATTGAACTCATTCTTGATGGCATTAGCGAGAGCATTGTATGAAAAGAACTTGCAATCTTGCATGTGTTTCATTAAAATAAAAATATTAAATTATTTTGAAAAATAACTTAAAAATGTAATCTAATTTTTTAAAAAAATATTTTTTTATTTCCTACTAAAGATGTATCGGAAGTTGTCTAAGTTAGAACACTCGGAAATAAAACAACTTCTTACAGAAGCTAATATAGATGTTGCAAAGCATTACGCAACAAACAAAAAAGCACTCGCTGACATCCTCAATGACTATAATGGTGCAATAAGTTATGATAGAATTCATGAGTTCATAAAGCCGCAACGCGGCGAGGACGAAGTCCATGCAAGAGCATTTCCTTTAAATGACATTGCTATTGACTTATATCATAGACGTTCAGTACCTCATGAAGTAAGAAGAGAAATGTTTGACATAACAAATGCAAACGTTGGTGAAACACGAAAGAGAGACGACACACTGAAACAACAGAGAAGAGAGATGTTTAAAAGTGCTATAGAACAAGTTCGCAAAGCTAACGATGTCATTCGTTCCATTGACGACAAACCAAAAGAAGGTGAGAGATGGTTAAAGAAAGATGAAGAGAATAGGAAGAGAAATGTGAAGTCAGGCAATAGACTCATTGACTTTAACATCGAAGCTTTAGATGAACCAAACAGAGACTACTTACACAAACATTTCGGTAAGGTTTTCATGAGACTCTTAGAGAAGATTAAAATAAACTCCCAACAAGATGGATGGTATGTTATAAACTTGGTGGAAAGTATGAATGTTCTACGTTAAACCTCAATAATATTGGAACATTACTACATCAGCTCTTGAAGGAGAACTTTATATCAGAGATAGAAGCAAATGCTGCAGGTATTGTTGAAATGCACTATGACTTCTTCTTGACAAACATAAAGAATCTTACCGAAATAAAGATGTATGATTTAACAGAATATGAAGGCTTAACGATGTCAGATGTAAAGAAAGGCAAACCAAAAAAGAGACCATATAGAGATGAAAGCACACTGACAAATGACCAGAAAGCCATTTTGGAAGCTCTTAAGCAAACAGGAAACCCAGCACTTATAGAAAGCTTTTGGAAAGATAATGGTGAAAAGAAGTTTTATAAGAAGAGAAGCGGTCAGTTCTGGAAGTATCTTTGCACATTACCTATAAATCTTGAACGCTACCAAATCTTCAATGAACTGAACAAAAGAACTGCAACACTTATGACAGAAGACAATTGTTTCGTTTATGCTTGCATTCAGGCTGGAGTAAATGAAGAAACTATTGACCACATGAGAGAAGTCATTCGTGTTAGAGACTTTCCTCAAAGTAAAGTACAAGAAATTTCTGACGCAACAGGTATAGCATTTAATGTTACCATTGGTTATTTCAATGACTCAAGACATAATGAAATAAAGAGATACATACCAAAAGAATGTAAAACTGTTCGAACTATTGACTTACTTCTTGTTGAAGACCACTACATGCTAAATGAAAGATTACCAATGACAACATATTTCATTCGAACTATAAAGAAATTCTCAAAGCTTGTGGTGGAATGAACATTGAGAAACAGATGAAGATTTATACAAAGAGAGAAGATAAATATGTAGTTCGCATGGATAGAACTACACCGCTATGGGATGTTATGAAAACATTGTGGGAGTGCAAATATTTCGAACCTATTTCTTATGGAGAACTTTTCACATATACGACTGACTTATATAAACAGAACCTTGCACCATTTAAAGATTTGACATATGCTCCAAAGTATTGTGTACAACTGAAGAAGAAAGCAGAGTCAAAAGAAGTAAATAAAGCTAAATGTAAGTTCATTCCTGAGCACGTTTTCTTTGCTGACTTTGAGTGTAGTACGATGGCTTTCATAAAGCTTTTAACATCTGTTATGACAGTGAAGATGGTTCAGTGAGTGAAAGCATTTGGGGTCAGAACTGTGCAACAGAATTTTTGGAGCGACTTCCTGACAAGAGTTTAATATATTTCCATAACCTCAGTATGATATAAACTTCATCTTAAGACACATGACAGAAGTGAAAGGAACTCCCATCATTAAAGGTTCACGAACAATGCAAATAACTGGCTTATATAAAGGACGGGCAATTATTATAAAAGACTCTTACAGTGTTATAAATAAGAAGCTTAAACTATTTCCTGCTATGTTTAACTTACAAACAGGACCGAAAGAAGTATTTCCATACAACTACTACAGCAGTGTTTGTTAGCAAATGACAACAGAACTGGTGTCATTTCTGAAGCATGTAAGTTTATCCAGGATGCAGATACATTCATGAAAAACATAGATTCCATCAAAGGTTGCAGAATAGATGAAAACCACTTCGACTTAGAAAAATATAGCACGTTTTACTGCAAACAAGATGTAAGAATTTTAAGAGAAGGTTTTGTTAAGTTCCGCAATGACATATTGAAAGAGTTTGATTTAAACGTTTATGACTACGTTAGTATTTGTTCTATTGCTAACAAATTGTTTGAGAACAGAGTGTACTTCCCGAATGGAAATCTTTATGACCTCTCAAATAAACCAAGAGAATTTATTTCAGCATTCAAGGTGGAAGATGTATGTTGTCAGATAACATGAAACAAAAGAGCGAAAAGAAACTCATTGCTGACTTCGACGCTGTTTCATTATATCCATCAGCTATAGCAAGATTTATACTTTAGAAGGAATTCCAAAAGTATTGAAGGATGAGATGTTAAGCACAGAGTATCTCATGAGACATTTATTCGATGACGACCAAAAGGAACCCATTGGTGAAAAGTTTATGTCAGGCTTCTTTGTTCTCATTAAGATAACAGAGATTGGAATACATAGACACTTTCCTTTAATAGTTTGTGACCCTGAACTAAATCCAGAACTTAACGTTCCCAGAAGTTCAAACACTTGCTGTTTATGTATGTTGACCATATAACATTACAAGACCTCATAAAATATCAAGGTGTCAAATGTGAAGTGTTGCAAGGATACTATTACGATGGAAACAGAGATATTAGAATAAGAGATGAAGTAAAGAAGTTGTTTGAGTTAAGGTTAAAGTATAAGAAAGAAGGAAATCCTTTGCAAGAAAATATAAAGCTCATTCTGAACAGTATTTATGGCAAAACTATTCTATCTCCTATTGAGTCAAAAATAACCATAGTAAATGACAAAGATGCTATAAGATATGCCATCAGAAACTACAACCATATAGTGAAGTTCGAAGGTTTGGATGGTTCAGATAAAACTATTTTCAAGCTAACGAAAAGCATTTGCAGACACTTTAACTTCTGTCCACTTGGTGTTAAATTCTGTCATGTCGAAGAGAATAATGTGTGAAGTATTCTGTACTGCTGAAGATATGGGACTTCAAATCTTCTACCAGGACTGTGATAGCATGCATATTTTCAATGAAGACATACCAAAGCTTGCAGCAGAGTTTAAGAAGAGATACGGTCGCGAACTTATAGGAAAGAACCTTGGTCAATTTCATTCTGACTTTGCAGAAATAACACCTGGAAAACAAAGTTTAGCATACAAGTCAATATTTTGTGGAAAGAAGACCTACATAGACTTACTCACTAACGATTTAAATGAAGTTGCATTCCATGCACGTTGTAAAGGTGTAAAACAAGACGTTCTTGCTTTAACAGCTAATGAAATGTTTCCTGAAGCTATACAATGCTATTACAATGAAGATAAGAACATTCACATACCTGTTGGAACATATGACAAAGACTCTGAGTTCAGTTTAATGAAACTTTACAAAGCACTTCATGATGGTCAAGAGATTGGATTCGACTTATGTAAGTCATGTCAACCTTGCTTTGCTGAAAAGTTTAACTTTCAATAACGACTAAAACAAGCTTTATTCGTAAGTTGAAGTTCTGAGGTCATTTATTTTTGTCAGCAATGAGGTCATGAATGAGGTCAGCAATGAGGTCATGAATGAGGTCATTTATTTTTGTCAGCAATGAAGGTCATTCGTGATAAAAATAAACTAGCGGCAAGGGCGAAGCCCATGTTCATTTACAATACTGCGATGGTAGAGTTTAAGAGTTGTGCTTCAATGTAGAGACAGTCCTTATGGTCTGGAGGTAAGAACACTGGGCAGTTATGGTCATGAGTGGAGAACATGTCTATCCAAAACTCACGATTGAAGCCAGTTAATTTATAGTATTTAGGGTTAGGAAGTGGTGAAGTTCTTGTATGACCAATGAACTCATTTTCAACTCCCTTACTTAAGTTTGAATATAATATAGCTTGCTTTCTATCCCAAATGCCTGGTGTTACAATCTTTGAAAATTCATTTTTCCTCGGAAGCATTGCATCATAATTGAAAACATTCTTGAAATCTTCATTGGGTTCAGAGATTTGAAACCTTATACGTAATGGATTTTCTTTCTCTTTAGCTACTTCATTGAATGGTGAATATATAACAAACTGACAGTCATGAGTTCCATCTTCATTTTCATTAAATTCATAATGAAAGTCTATAAGTTGTGGCTGACTACCTTCTTCTTTCAGTTGTGCAAGAAACTCACGTAAAGGCTGTAAAGTTTGTACTTCAATGTTGAACTTTTTCTCGAACATCTCATTAAATGAAATCATACATTGCAACAATGTTGTATCGTCTTTAAAGTATTTGTATATGTGAATGTTTTTGGGCGCTTAAAGACTGTTCGTCATTTTCTATCTCGACTTGAAGTATAAAGTCAACTTTCTAAATGCATGTGTTATATACATAGATGTTATGCCAATGTACTTCTCTTCATTTATGTTCACAATCCAGTCTGTTGGAAACTTAAACGTTACTCTGTTCCCCTTTATTTTGACGTCAGGGTTTTCACTACTGAACGCAACAGATAAAGGTATTTGTCTATACATTTAATTCGGATAAAAATAAACCATTTACTCTTTCTTTGCTTCAGCTTCTTTAGCTTTTGCTTCAGCTTCTTCTCTAGCTTTTTTCGCCAGTAGTCTTGGGTTCTTTTGTCTTCCAGCAGCTAATGCAGCAAGTTGTTTTTCACTAAGTTTTCTCTTTGGTCTCTCTGGCTTTTGTTCTTGTTTTTGTTCCTTCAGTTCGGATAAAATTTGCTCACGAATTTCTTTCTTCAATGCTTCAACATCTATGACCCCTTGGGTCTTGTCGCGTAGGGCTTGTCTGAGTCATTTGACTGCAGATAAAAAAACAAAATTAAAACTTTAACCGATGTAAAATGAGCTTGTCAAAATCAGAGCGAGAGTCTATTATATTAAATGACGCAAGAGGAATACAACATCCTTTCTATTACGTAAGTCAGAGTAAAAGATGGTAAAATATATGTAAGAAAAGAAAGGTTCCATTAGCGAATGCAGAAAGCGACAACATTAAGGTGCATGGCAAGGGTGAAGTCCACGAAGCCCATATAAAACCTTCTATTCAAACTGAAAAGTCAATAGAACCAGAAGAAAGAAGCCAGATGTTCTTTCAATAACGAACCAAGAGCTTATTGCAAAGTTCGTGAATTTCATTGAAAAACAAACGCGAGTCAAAGAACGCCTGACCCGCCAGTGAAAGAAGTTGAGACAAAAGAGAATGTACAGTTCATTGAAAATGTCAAGAAACAACTTCCACCACGAATGCCAAGAAGAAGAGTGAGAATAATGAAGTAAATAGATATTTTTATCCGAAGTAAATACATGCAGAACGAACAGCTAAACGAATTTACTCCAGCAGAGCATATTCATCAGATTCGCTCATATTTCGATATCATAGACAATGCAGTTCAAATTGGTGACACTAATAGAAAATATTCTGACGCAAAGATTCCATCACAACCTGGAACTGCTAAAGATAACACATGGGTAACATTCAATCTCTCACCTCCTGGTGAAAATATGTTGGACCTTTACAATACATTCATTACGTATAAAATGGAAGGTCAATTTATTGTAGATAAAGAAATTGGTTCAGGTTCCAATAAAACAAACCCACCAGGATTTTGGATTGGTTTCGATGACGCTTTCTATGCAGTTGCTGGATATCAAATCCTTGCAAATGGTCGTATCGTATATTCTCAAGACAACGCAAGAGAAGAAGCATATATAACTTCAAACTCACAAACTACCGAACAAATAAAGAAAGTAGATGTTTTCTCAAAGACTCGACATGAAGATGTATGGAGTCATTCGGGAACATGCAGAACAGGACAAATTGTTAGTGGTCCAATTACAGCAGGAAAATCATTTGATTTTAAGCTTCGTTTAAGAATTCCTGTTAGAAAGTTTTACCATTAGAAGCTATAAGATTTATTCCAGCTTTGCTGGAAACATTCAGCTTAAAGTAAAGTTCAGTAGCGACGCCTTACAATGCACATCTATATCTGTAAATGATATCATTGCTTTCAATCCAACTCTTAAAGTTGCATTTGCTTCAGATTCAAATCCACCCAAATAAATTTGTTCCATGGAATGAACCATTCACTATGATAACGAAGGCAGTAGAAGCTAGTGGAACAGTTACTATTACAACTGTAACCCAGCAACTATTTCGAACAAAGATGGATTTTAATGAATGTTTCATTCATCCAAAGTCATTCTCTTTAGACCCTAACATTTATACAGAACTTGTAGAACATTATACAAACGAGGCTTTATGTTTTCCTGTTAAAGTTATGGATTGGATTCCTATGGACGGTTCATTCTCAAAGAATACAGATAGTTCAAGTGCAACATTTACAGCAGCTTATACGCCTATTAATGTTAAAAGTATTTGGGCACTATTTAGAAAGAAAGACAACTATTATGTTAATTTTGAGAACCCTAAGTTTAAATATCTTCAGCTTTCCATGGGAGCTTATGGAAATATGCCTGCAGAACCTGAAAAATCATATGGACCTGTATTTTATGAAATGGTTGCGAACGCTTGCAATACAAACAATGATATGATAGGATTTAATGAAGATGTTATGAGGTCATTGGTGGATGATGGTAGTGTGGAACATAAATGGGATAGCTATGACAACACACATTTCTTATGTGGTTTTCCAACAGAAGTGGACTTTTGCTTCCAGCAAGGTCAAACATCTACTGCTCCAATAACATACAAATTGTCTGTTAAAGGACCTATTGAACTAGCAACTGAAAACGTACCAAAGCCACTTATTGGATTTATGAGGGATTGTTGCTTTGCAATACAAGTAAGACAGTCAGGCATCCAATAATAAGACTTGACGACTATAACTTAGCACTGACGACGTGAGGAATAAAGGATGAACGTTTATTTTTAAAGCTTATAAATGAGTTCTTCATCAAGCTCTCGTGAACCTTCACCATCTATGAAACAAACTTTACCAAACGATTATGGAGCACCTATTGAATATTTCTTACGAGCTGCACAATGGCAAAGAGCAGTCTCACCAAGGTTAGGTGTTCCACCAGCTCATGTCAAAAATAGCATTTGGTCAAGTCCTTATATAAAATATGGTCTCCCACTAGGTTTGCTAGCTACAGCAGGAGCAGTTATGATGTTGAAAAGAAATAAAGCAAATGTTGTAAATAATACTGAAGTAGCTGAAGTTAAACAAACTCCAACACCTTCGCCAAAACCAACGCCTTCACAAACAACACCTTCAATGACTCCTGAACCTATGGAAGTACAAACTCCTGTTCAAAAGTCAACTCCTAAACCGACTCCAACATTTAAACCAGAACCTACTCCTCAAATAAATCGTAAAACTCCTGCGTTTCCTTACTGAAAAAATAACGTTATTTTTATTTAATATTAAAATTTTTATTTGATTGAAATGACGACTAAAGTCACTGAAGCAATGAAACAAAAGTTTTTGGTAGAATACATTAAATCAGGAACTATTCCAGAAGGTTTTTACATTCATACTATGAAGGATGGTAGAGTTCAGTTTAGAAAGATAAAGCAACCATTAGATAAAGAAGGAATTTTGAGAAAGATTAAACTTCATGAGGACAACATTGCTGAACTTAAGAAGAAGTTAGAAGAGTTGGAGAAAGGAAGAGAGTTATAAAGCAATGAATTCAAGTGGGTGAAAAAAGAGGTGAAAAAAGAGGTGAAAAAAGAGGTGAGATCTCACCACTTCACCTAAATTTATTTTTGTGCTATGTTTTCATACGTGTGAGGGTGGTGATATCATTTATTTTTAAGTTCATTTTTAAGTTTATTTTTATATAAATGACGAAAACTATTGAGATAACAAACTACAACGGTCATGAGTTCAAGAATTTGTTCTTCGTTCCTCGTGAAAATACATTCTATCAGATACGAGGGAGAAAGGGTAAAGTTAGTTTGAGCGTTTATGACAACAAACATAATGGGAGATATATAAAAGCAATAGATACAAACGGTAAGCGTGTTTCATTAGCTTTGTCAAAACTTACTAACATTTATTTTGACAGTGACTTTGACTCTGACGATTGGAGTGACAGCAGCGATACTGAAGAATATGAACTATTGTGTGAAGCACAGCAATGGGAAGCGCTGCAATACTTTTGTAAATGAGAACATTAGTGGGAACGTTAGTGAGAACGTTTATTTTTTCATTAGTGAAGTCGTTAGTGAAGTCATTAGTGAAGTCATTTATGTGTCAGATGGTTTTGTAAATATTTAAGGTTAAGTTGGGTAAGGTGGAACGCAGTGCCGCTGTACCCAAGTTAACCATACTAACTAACGCTTACGTCATTTAATTCTCGAAAATAACAGGCGCCTGCTGTGTTTGACCAACATCTATGGAATTCGACGGTGTTTATTGTGATACTTCCGGTTATATATCGTAAACAAATTGCACCACCATTTCCTGTATCACCAACATTTTCGAATAATGTATCGTGGATGTTAAGATCGTAATATCCATTGTTTAAATCGCAGCGAGATGCTGTTGGAAGAGACAAAGCTAATGCTGAGAAAAGAAGAATCATTGAACAGTTAAAAGATTGTGAGAGTTACCGGAATTTTGAGAATAAGCTTGGAAAAATTAATCAAAATACTTGTATACTTGTATGAAAGATATGAATTGTAGATGTTATTTCAAAATATTCATTTGAATTTTTATACGTACTTTTATATAATATACAATTATAAGCAATTTATAAAGTAAAAAGAATTATTCAATAACTATAGAAATTTTTACAATTTCAGAATTCGTTCAAAGAGCCTATTCAAAAAAGGCGGTTTTTTCATTTCAAACTTCAGTAAGTCTTACAATTTCATTAGCCAATGTTTTATCCATCATATAAAATACTATAAAGTATACCTTATAAAGGATTTGCTCAAAAAAGCAGTGAAGTATTGAAATTCCGTAATCGATTGTTATCAAAACCGAATATTTTACTTTAAAAATATTGTGGTTAATTGCATCAGCTACAAGTGCCTAGGAATATTCAAAAAGAATAGAAACCAGCGAATGTCATCATCTAAAGTATTCAAAATTTAGCACCAAAATTAGGAGCTTTTCGGAAGCAAAGCGTGATGTTCCAGGCTTTTAAGTGTATAACAAAAAAAAAAAAAAAAAAAAAAGGTAGTGGGGCTTCCAGGCACTTCGTGCCTTCTAGCCCTGAGGATGAATGAGTATAAATGAAGTCTTGACAAAACATTTACGAAGAAATCTCAACAAAGTCTTTACGAAGAAGTCTTGACAAAACATTTACGAAGAAGTCTTGACAAAACATTTACGAAGAAATCTCAAACAAAGTCTTTACGAAGAAGTCTTGACAAAGTCTTACGAAGAAGTCTTGACAAAGTCTTTACGAAGAAGTCTTGACAAACATTTACGAAGAAATCTCAACAAAGTCTTTACGAAGAAGTCTGACAAACATTTACGAAGAAGTCTTGACAAAAACATTTACGAAGAAATCTCAACAAAGTCTTTACGAAAGAAGTCTTGACAAAGTCTTTACGAAGAAGTCTTGACAAATCTTTACGAAGAAGTCTTGACAAAATATTTACGATGAAGTCTTGACAAAGTCTTTATGAAGAAATCTCAACAAAGTCTTTACGAAGAAATCTCAACAAAGTCTTTACGAAGAAGTCTCAACAAAGTCTTTACGAAGAAGTCTAACAAAAAACATAGACAAGAAAGTTCATGAGTGTAAATGACCCAAAAAATATATTTAGGGTAGAAGGGTATATCTACCCGTTTTCTACCCTCTTTTCTACCCTCTTGAATTTTCATGAAATTTACACCAAAAATATACTACTAGGGTCATTTACGAAGAAATCTCAACAAAGTCTTTACGATGAAGTCTTGACAAAGTCTTTACGAAGAAATCTCAACAAAGTCTTACGAAGAAGTCTCAACAAAGTCTTTACGAAGAAGTCTTAACAAAACATAGACAAGAAAGTTCATGAGTGTAAATGACCCAAAAATATATTTTAGGGTAGAAGGTATATCTACCCCGTTTTCTACCCTCTTTTCTACCCTCTTGAATTTTCAGAAATTACACCAAAAATATACTACTAGGGTCATTTACGAAAGAAATCTCAACAAAGTCTTTACGATGAAGTCTTGACAAAGTCTTTACGAAGAAATCTCAAACAAAGTCTTTACGAAGAAGTCTTGACAAAGTCTTTACGAAGAAATCTCAACAAAGTCTTTACGAAAGAAGTCTCAACAAAGTCTTTACGAAGAATCTTAACAAAGTCTTACGAAAAGTCTTAACAAAGTCTTACGAAGAAGTCTTGACAAAGTCTTTACGAAGAAATTCATGAAAATTCAAGAGGGTAGAAAAGAGGGTAGAAAACGGGGTAGATATACCCTTCTACCCTAAAATATATTTTGGGTCATTTACACTCATTTACGAAGAAAAACATTTTATTGTATATATAAAATGAATTTTACAAAACCACCGTTACCCTTCTTTGGAAATAAGAGTAGATGTAAAGATATTCTATTGAGAGAACTTAAGAAACTACCGAATGGTCTAACATTTGTAGACTTGTTCGTGGAAGTTTCTATATATCTCATTTGTGCCATACAATATTTCCTGACTCAAAGATTATATGCAATGACTTCGACAACTATATGGACCGTCTCAAACATTACCAGACACAAACAAAATATTGAGTGAGTTGAAAGAAAAGATACCTATAGGTAAGATGGAACGTATACCATTAGATAAGAAAGATATTGTCAGAGAGGTTTTGAAAAAAGCAGAGTATATTGACTGGGATAGTTATATCTGCTAGACTATTATATAGTGGTGCTATAAGAGTTCATGACATTGAAACACTTATGTCAAAAGTTTTATATCTTAAACTATACAAATGTTTTCAAAAGAGAACATAGAAAAATATATTGAGGGTATAGAGTTTGTGAGATGTCATTGGACAGAGTTGTATGAAAAAATATAAGACAAGGAAAATGTTTTCTTTATAGTAGACCCGCGTTCTAAATAACACATGGATTTTCAATACCAAGTAGACTGGACTTTGAGAGACTCTTTAGAAACTTTAGACGTTTTACATAACCATCCATGCTTTTACTTTACATCCGATAAAAGTGGTTTGGAAAGTGTCATGAGATGGTTAGAGGACATACATGACTATGAGTTTAGATACGATAAGATAGAATATGAGAGAGGTCCTATAAACTGGAGAAAGTGTCATAACAAAGAAATTTTTACTAGTAAGTAAATGTGGTTTGAAATAGGACTACTTGTTTTAGGTTTTTTCCATTGTGTCATTTACTTATTTGACGTGGCAGAAAGATATAGAGAATATGAAGATGAACCAATGCCTGCAAATGTTCAGCATATGTACTCGTAAGAGATATTTTTATCTAATATTAAATGGACGCACAGAACTTAGCGAATGCACAGCAACCTGGACAACCAAAACCCAGAGAATATTCCAAATGAAGTTAGAATACAAACTGCAATGGCAAACTATGGTCAAGTGCCAACAGATGTACAAATGCAAACTGCCATGTCAAATGACGCTGCGTTAGGCTTACCACCATGGTATGCAAATATGAGATGGAAAGAGTTTTATACAAACCCTGAAGTGGGATATAAAAACTCTATGCAGATGACGCGAACACAGGAGTTGACCCAGAGTATGTTTTCTACCAGAG